ATTCACACCACATCAAGAAGATCAAGATAAAAAACGATGCTTCTGATTTCAGATTTGCTACATTAAGCCTGTGAAAAATTTAGCATTACAACATCCAGAAGAGCAATATAGTGATAAAGCAAGTGCAGAAGTTCTTTTACAAGCATCAGCAAACAGATAACTGAAGTCTAAGGAGTTGTTCAGAGTGCAGGGGAGTAGTTCAGAAAACACCATCTAAGCCATCCTTGGCAGACAACATTATTTACTAAACTGTTTCATTGAGAAGCTACAACTCACAGTAAAAGCACAATCAGAATAAAGGTGTGCCACTTCTTAATTTCCCCTTGGCACAAAAAAAGCAGAACATATTCATTCTTAAACACAGCACTGCAAGAAAAGAAAAAAAAGGCTATACTGCCTCACTTAACGTCTCTAAGGATGAGGGTTTTTCTTAGGTCTTTAAACAAATACAAAATCACAAAAATGTCTGTTTCTACATTAACAGATTTTGAGTTTTGCCATTGAAACCTAATTATTCTGTCTTTGCTGTTCACAGGATGAAGTTCAAGTTGAGCTACGAAGCACAAAAATCACCTCACCCTCTATTCATAAACCTACATTTGCTTGGACCCATTACAAGAAATAATATGAGAAATTCATTAGTTTGACAAACACTAATTGAAATGGTCAGTCAGCACTGAATTATACTCAATTATATAAATAGTACCCTATCCTTTATGTAAGATAATTTATATACTTTGTGGTTCTAGATTTTAAAATATTATGTAGTTGACTATACACCACTGAAAACATGCATCAGAAGTATTTAGCAAAAAACTCCCCACAGAATAGACATCAGCTGTTTCACATCATACTGTCCCCCAGCCCTTCCATGTCCTGCAGTCTCTGCAGGGTGATTTGGCCAACTCCAAGCATCAGTTTCAAAGCCTACTGTTAACCTGCCATGCACAGAGGTCACTTGAATGAAAAAGCTCTTTCTAAATCTTTTGAAGTTACTAATAGACATTTTTGTAAGTTCTTCTGTGCTTTCTGTCTGAAAATAAAACAAGGTAGACTTCTTACTTTACCTAGCCACAGTTTTGGAAGAAAAAATTCAAGTATCACATCTATTTTATGCTTATGACTTTCCTGCAATTTTTGTTGCTGTTGTTGTTTGTTGTTGCTTGTTTTAAATTTACAATAGGAATTTTCACAGAGGCCTAAGGAAGCAGCTTCTCTGGAGCTATTCTATGAAGTCAGAATATCCCAAATACAGAAAACTGGACACACTGATACGTTTGACTTCTGTACAAAGGACTGGTATACGTCTTGTTTAGGTTGGTGACAGGATTCTCACAATACCAGTTCTGCACTGAAAACTTTCCTTTTCAAAACCTACTTTCAAAACAGAAATCTTAAATATACCAAGAAAGATTCATTCTCTAGGAAAACACAGTTCCACACTATATTTATCACTTGGCACCTCATAAACATAATGAAAGGAGATAAAAGAATATAAAATGGAAAACATGATAAAACAACCCTGGAACACTCAAAGATATTTATTTATTTATTTAAATAAAGGCAACACCCTTGCTGAAGCTTCAGGAGTTTCTGACAATACAGAAATTTACTGACAAAGCAATTTCTTACTATGACTTTTCATTCAACCGCTGTGGGCTGCAGTTACGACAAAATTGTTTTCTACTCATTGTATGTTACTTCATGGTAATTACTATGATAATTATACAAAGAATTTACACATATCAACTGCCTTTCACAAAATCTCACGTTGTCTTTACTACTATAGTTCTCTAGCACTTACTTCACATGCATATACAACACACACACACACACACACACGCGCTTCCCATCCCTGAATATTAGAGGATGATAATCTGTACAGTTTCTGGTCAAAGCAGTTCCAGGAGCTGCCTACACAGACACCTCTGCAAACAGTTCAAAATACAGGCCTGAGAAGACAAACAGTGTGATGCCTGTTTCCAGAACTCAGGATACTAGCTGTTAGAAAAGTAAGCAATTTTCCAGTGTTAAAATCCTCTCTCCTTCCCTTCTTCTACATAAACAGTAACTTGTCAACAAGCTTTTATTTTGAAAGTTAGTAACAGCAAAGCTAGAAAAAAATAAATATACAGATTATTTTACAGTAACTTCATGGAAAAGGTAGCTTGCAACATGGCTAGAGGACCTGGAATCAATTTGTCACTGCGCTATTTGAAAGCTACTTCCTCCCCCACTCCTTGTCTCCAGAAGGCTTGGGGTAGGCAGACAACATGGGGAGGGAGCTAATTGAAAGCAGGTCAACTCTGCCTGTGAGAAGTCAAATGGCAGAAACTATTTGCCTGGCTCACTTGAATGTGAGCAAAACCTAATCCACGGACGATCTTACTGAGGACTCAAGGCTTTACTACACAGCACCATGCAGAGTGCCAAAATCCTGAAAGGTGACCTTGTATTCCTATGAGGTCACACCTCAATATCTAGACTGCAGTTTTAAACAAGATAGACACTAACATTCTTTGTTTACAAAAACTAATGTCATTTATGAAATCTGAAGGCAAATTAAGCTTCTATGTAGAATATACCTTCAGATAAGTATAGCCTTATAAACAAGAAAAGGAAATTAGATTGTTTTTCCACTACCATTAATGTTTATTAATACATTTACATTAATAGGCAATTATTCTCTTGAGAAAGCACAGATATTTATGCTTTATTATTGGAAATCAGTTATTAATTATATATACTTGCAGCTGCTGCCAAGCAAAGCTTATCAGTAAAGGAGTTCAACTTCTGATTTCAGTTATAGCATGATTCATTAAGACATGTAGAAAGCGGCAGCTATGTTGCACATCACCTAATTCTTGCCTTTAAGGTAGGGTATGGTAATTAAGTGCTGATGCTTGCTGGAATTTCCAGTGGAAATTCATGCAGTTACTCCCTGGCAAACCCACAGATGTTTCTGGCTCCACATTTTCAGAGAAGTTCAGTATGAATTCCAAGGAATGGATGTGACATGAACAGAATCCTCCTGACTGCAGCATGTTTTTGATGATGTTCATGAGCCAGTATCCATGCTCAGAATTCCTTCGTTCTATAATAAAGATTCTAATTATGCACCACATCCTAGAGTTCCAGTTGCAGTTCTGCACTAGTGTTCCATTGCAATAGCAGAATTTGCAGAAACTTGTGAAGATTCAGAAGCATATGCTGATAATAGAATTTTCAGAATCTCTAAGCATTAAGTTGCTCCAAATGAATTAGTAATTAGGAAACTTCTGAAAAACAATTTCCTTTCCATTTCAAGTCTGTGGTATTCAGTAAACAAACTGCAAACTCTCCTGAAAATCTGCCATTCACACCTGGTTTTACCCATCTCTGTTTTGCAGTAGCAATTGCTCTAGCTTAAAGAGCATTTGCAGTAACTTGAAATTTCCAACCTTACTGTTGGAAATTGTAACAAGAGCTGGAGGTTACTCACCTGCACAACCCATTTTCAAGTGCTAACATTGGACCTACAGTGAACCATTTCCCTAATCACTGTGTCCTTATTCCTAGGCAGGTCACAACATAGTTAGATTGGCACAAAGTGAAAATTGAAGGGGGAATCCTTGGCTAGACGGCAGTATGAGCATTAATTTTCCTTCAGTCATACCTTCTTTTGGTTGCAAGGAAATGTCTTCCCTGCACATAATAATATGTAAAATGTAGTTTTTCCATCTTCTATAAACACTCTTTTTTGTGGACAATTATTCCTTCGGGATTTCATACCAAAACACATGCAAGAAAGCAGTATGGTGATTACATGTAATCACTGAGAATAGATTGAAATGTTCATTTCCTAGACTCAGAGACTGAAATTTCAAAAGATGCAGTTTGCTTTCCCTTTCAGAGGTATAATGAAAAAGACAACTTTCCAAAGGAAGTAAAAGCTTCATATTAAAAAAAAAAAACTGATCAAAACTGATCTTCTATAAAAAAAATAAGTTAGTAGTGAAAGCTTTCAACATATCTGAACCTTTCTTGGACGCTGAATATAAATAGAATGCTGTGGCATTTACAAGAAAAATAAATGAGAGACAGACTTGTTATGAAAACCTCAACATTTTCAATTCATATGTTTTTAATTCAGGCATAACATCAAGTAAGGAGAGAGAAGAACATGGAAGAGAAAAATTGATTACTAATGGCATACGGATCAGCTAACAACCAGGACAAAAACAGTTTAAACTAAATTAGATGGGATAAGTAGTAAGCTAAGTACTTGTCTGCACATGAATGTTTTTCCTTTCATGAAAATAGGAAACATGAACTAAATTAAAGAACGTTACTATATGAGGACCCTTATTTACATTCAGACTAAAGCATTTTATTCCACTGTAAATATTTAATGAATTCCCAAATGCAGTGATAGAGACTGCAAATGTAGTATCTTGCAGAATGTAACCTTAAATAGTCAGATGAAATTTTGGAAGTCAGAAGCTACTTTAATACGAGTTTTTTAGCTAGATGTTTTCAGTGAAAACTGTTTTAGAGGAAGACTGTTACTGGAAAACATGATCAAAAATAAAGAGTAAAGAGGAGTAAAGAAATTCAGGTCTGCTGATCTATTACAAAAGCACATAAACTATTTCATTTTATTGACCATCCCAGTTTACTTCGGCTGCAAAATAAGTAACCTATTGACTGTTAGTGCCAGTGTAACTTTTTAGGACAGTCCGAGTGTTGGATTTAGCTCTTCCCACATCCTGACCAGGGCAAACTGGAGCCAAACTGTCAGTTCTGGCTAAAAAGCAGGGGACCAATGACAACAAATGAAACCCGTTTCTAGAAAAGCAGAATATACAGTTTGTGTTATACATGGAGTTACTTCCCCTCTGCCCTGACACTTAGCAGAAAGCAGACTATTATCTGTTAAATCAAGATATAAGGACAGGATAGACAGAATAAAATTTACATATATAGTTATTGCTGTATGCAGCACATTACAGGAAGCTCACCATACTGAGTTGGATTTGACCATCCAAATGTCCTTGGCTGCTCAGTACTCTTTCCAGAGCCAAACCAGGGTCATTCTTGGCTTCAGACAAATTTATTAGTCCAGCACATCCCAGTCTTCCCCTGACACTGAGTTTTCTTTGTAAACCAAGAGGAAAACAGGATATCTGCAAATTAAAAACAAAAAAAAACAACAAAAAAAAAACACCAGCATGTTACTGTGAGCTTGCAGTACATGTGTCATTTCACAGTGGACATAATCCAAAATGTTTACCTATTTTTCAAATTTAGGGAAGAATGGAAGCCAATTAACTTTCTTGGTCAAAATAGAATATTACTGCTTGCATGCAAAAGTTGATTTTAATCTCTGTGTACTTGGTTTGTAAGGACTGAATTAGAATTACTTTGGAAAGTTTCCAGGAGATGTATGACAATGTAGTCTCAGAGAACATGGGAAGAAAAGAGTACATGATAACAGCAAGGGGATTTTCTGCAGCTACAGCAGTGAAATATTTGGATCTCTTGAAGGACAAATATTTTAGATAAAATACACAAATTCTACATGCAGATGTCCTAGAAGTACTGTCATGTTTCTTATCACCTTTAATATAACTGATTTAAGTACAATCTGCATTAGGTAATTTCTTAACATTAATTTCTACCAACAGATTAGGATACAAATACATAAGTTAGAAGTTTAAGTTTAGCAAACAGTGAACAAAAAGTAAAAATAGAGATAAGATCTTCAAAAAGATGACAAGTTTTCCCGTTGAATAAGTTGCTCTGAAAGTAATGCCTCATTTATTTCTATGAAAACTACAACAGATACAAAGAGCACAATAACACTATCTGACAGAACCTTTCTGCCACTGTCGTGGAGAAATAGCTGCCACCCCACTAGTGATGACACCACTCCATATTAAGGTACATAGGAAACCTTGTTGTCTGGTATAACCAGAAACTGCTGCATTAGGCTCTATTTGATAGAGCAAACTCCTGGCTAAAACCCAATATTTTTGAACAGAGTCACCACCACTAGCTTTGCTTTTTCACCAGGGATGAACATGACCCTGCATGCTGTGCTCCTAACAGCACCAGCAGAGATGACCCACAGTCACTATCACCACTCCTGAAACATATCACACACCACCTCACTGCGCTCATACACACTTCCATGTCACACATCATTTTGTCAGAGTGCCCCTCTGCTGCCACCTGTCACACAGCAACACCACGTAATGGAATATCGGTAGAAAGGTTCAACCTCCACTCCTGTATGACCAACAACCATCTCTGACATCATGGGCCAGAAGTAATGCCTCCTATTTTATTTTGTTGGAGTAGCTCTAATATATGAAAACTAATCCTGTGGAGTTGCTTATCCTAAAAACAGTTAAAGAGAGAGTCTAAAGGCAAGTTCAGCCTATAAACGTTTTAGAAAGCTAACAGAAGTCTACACAAGTCCTTTGAAGAAACTCACTCCTTTCAAAACCAATCATGACTGCAAAGGTTCCTAGAACAGCTCTCTGTCATATGCATGCACTATTTGTGTTCTTCCCCTCCATTCATCCATTTATACATGCACAGATCTGTCTTCTTTGTTTTCTGCAACTATCTCACTTTCCCATGACATTGTGACCTCCACAGCCTCTGCCTCCCACTCCCCTTCTCTCCCTTAGCAAAGTGGTTTGAACCTTTGAGGCACAAATTATTCCAAATACAGTCACATCACCTCACCCCACAGAAAGTTTTCAAACATGCAATTGCTTTGATTCTCCCTTTCCAAAACAGATCCAGTAGAACTAACAAAGCCAACAGAGGACTACGATGGCACAGCACAACCCACACACAGAAAATGATTACACAGACTTGTGCTTTCTACTCCAGTCTAAGAAAGTTTTTGTAAAGGTGATATTGCTAGCACAGTAAAAAATAATAGGAGCTTGTTATTCACTGTGTTATCCCTCATGAGACTTATTGAATAGCAATCAAAACCAGTAGTGGCTACGTTTAATCTATTCAGGACAAGAATACTTTGCTTGCTGCAGAGCATCTTAGTCACAATAGGGTAAATGAACTATGCTGTGATGGATCCAACCCTGCTGTCCAAGTAAGGATCAGACAATGATGTTTAACTTGCCCTTACTGGTTTTATTCTTAGCCTCTAACCATTGTTTAGCTAAGCACATAGGTATCTAGCCTACCAAGATTATTGCATTTAAAAATCCAATTCATGGAATCCATTACTGCATTTTGTATCTCTGGAAGTCCAGTTTCAAAAATAAAGAAAGTCTGTTGGATTTTTCACACCTTCAAAAAGCCACGCTTACCTGTTGGCTTGTATACTTTTTATGTCACTGCCACTTTACAGGAAAAAGGAAAGTCTGCATCTTGGCAATTAAAATTGCCAGATAGGCCTAGCAAAAAAAAAATAAAAAAAAATAAAAAAAAAGGAGGCTTTGAAGCTAAAATAGTTGAGTATTTTCAAAATTTTTAGGGGCAAAATTCTGGTTTAAAAAAAAAAAAAGGCAAAAATTTCTTTGCTGGAATTTCAAGGGATTAATCTACAGTATTGATAATGAGGTGTTCTATTGAGGTGTAGCAATTTTTTTCTGGTTGTACAGTATGTCACATGAACATAACTGAAAGGAACTATATTTTATGAATTTATAAAGCTTTCTTTCTGCAGGCTGCTAAGAAAGGAGGCACACAGACCACCCTTTGGTACATAACTGGCAGAATCAAAAATCAAGGTATTCTATTTCCAGAAGACCACATTCAAGACATGATGGAAATGGCATCTTCTTTTAAACACTTCTCACTAATTCCATGAAATCCAACAGTGGCTGGATCGAAAAATCACAAATACAACAAAACTCTTCACTTCTGCCTTCATCATCTGAAGTGTTCTTTCATGCCTAGTTTCTTATGCTGCAGAGCACAGCACTCCAGTCTACAAAGACATCAAGTGTAGTACAGGAACTACTAACTTCTCCCTCATTTACGTATAGAACTCCCAAACCTATACTGGTTGTTCCAATCAACTCTGTTCTTCATTAAGCAAGGCATACAACTCAAAAATACTGGATAAAACTCTCAGAATCTTCTGAGAAAGACCCTAAGATGGCTTACAAAAAGGTTCCTAAGAGGTATCTTGCATGAAAGAAATCATTTGAGTTCAAGTCCTATTCAGGACATAGACACAGCACTGATTAAAAACAAGCAAGAATATTTGACCAAAATCAGTTCCTATTCTGTCAATAGCTATGCCGACATTTTTACATTGGAACTAGCATGTTTGAAAATAGTTTATCCTCCTTTTTTGAACAAGCTTGGCAAAGTATCTCTCTGATCTTGGAAGTACAGCACTGCCCATGAACACAGTTATCAAGCAGGGTTTGTACAACCATGCCTAAATCAGTTCATGTTCCCAAGAGCTCACATGCACAGAATACAAATTTCCAAATGTAGCTTCTACTATACAAATGGTTTTAACTTCAGAAGTTAGAATTTTAAAAATCCATCACACTTGCTTGCAAATGGTATTGGCTGATGAATGGTATCTGTACAACTGATATACGCTAACAGGAAATTACTTCTACATGTGCTTGCAAACTATTAATGGTGTTAAAATGAAACTTGACTTATTTAGAGAATTGACTAGAGAACAAAAGTTCTTCTAAGCTTTTACAGTTTAATCTCAATTTCCACTCACAATTTGGGCAGGGCATTAAAAATGTAGCAAGAAATTCTCCAAATATTTCGGCAATAAAATTTTCCATCCCTACCCCTCATAAAGGAAAAACAAGAATTTTTAAATTATTTTTTATTTTAGATAAATCAGCTCATATATATCCTTCAAAAACACTTCCTTTCCATTTCTTCCAAGACTTTCAAGTTCTTCTTCTCATCTATCTCAACATTGACTAACCAGTTACAATATTTTGTCTTCTAGACCCTAAATAACAAATTGAAGTTTTAAGGTGTCATTAGGCCTAGGCCTAATTAATATGGGATTTAGGTAGTATTTACAACAGCAACTTCTAGGCTGTGTTGTCTATAAATTGAAGAATTATACCTTAAATCCCAACAGCAGAATATTGCCAGTACAAAGCAAGTTTTTAAGATAACTGCCTGAAGCGTTGCAGCATTTTCTGGGGCTGCTGCTAGCTTACCTGCACACATATGATATTCTAATTTATTGACAGTTTTATTTTTTAGGAATAATTACATCAACAGCGTACTGACTTTTACACAGTACAGGTACACAGTTCCCGTTTTCTGCATGGCTGTGTTTAAGGTAGCCGGATAAGAGAATGAGACACCTCTTTTGGCATTTATCAAAAATGGTAATTACCTAATTATATGAATTTAGTAGCACGTGGTTAAAAACAATAATAATTAAACGTATTAACTGCCAGCAAAATATTAGACTCCAGCAGATCTGTTTGGAACATTTGCTAAAATGGTTTTAAAACACCGTAGACTTTATTAGCAAACACCATTTTTCAGTTTGTGAATGCAAAGGAGACACAGAAAGCAAGGTTAGATGTAGGATTCCTACCACCTGACCTTTAGATTGTGAGAAACAGAAGACTGGCAAGAGTAAGAAGAAAGGCTATAATAAAATGGACTACATATCCTTTATTTATGCAGATGACGCTGATGAGTTGACAGTTTCAGTGCAGGATTTGATGTCTCTCGAGATTTTTTCCAATGTTGTTTTTGCTTGCACTCTTAAGTTGATAAAGCTACCAAGAGACATCACAAGTTACTTGGTAACTTGCAAAATTATTTTTATTTACAAGATTGGAAGGAATTTTTTTTTTTTAATTCTTGAAAAACAAGTTTAGATTCCTATCTAAAGAGTACAGACACAATAATACAATTTTTTCCCCATAAAATTGAATGCATATCAGATAAGGGATTTCTTTAAGAGTTCTTAATTACTCCAAAGCAATGCATTATGGCAATGTATGTGTCATCTACAGCTTTCTACTGAACACTGAAGGACTAGACAAGAAAACTGCAAGATTTCTTTAACAAATTTCTGCCAAAGGAAGAAATTTATTATTTACTGCATTCATGTTATTTTAAGACACTTTCACTTGATTATTCAGTATTTTCCATCAGCAACTAGATGATGAATAGGCTTTCCACCTGCCTT